GAATATGATTCCCAGTTGGGAGAAGGTAGGAAATTTTTTTTGAAATTCGTCCACCCATTCCGCAACCTTTATGGCGTCCATTAGATGGATCCTACCATTCTTTCAAATATATCCTGTGGGCTGACCCCACTGGACTTAAATATATCCTCTCTTACAAAAACGTTAACATGTGTTTGCATGTGCCATTAGATGACCAGTCTAAAACTTTTAAAACCCTATTTTGCCCTTTTCCTTACCATTGTTTTTTCTCGGTCTCTATAAAATTAATTGCATAACTGATCACACAAAGCCAGAAATCAAGTAATTTCCGTTAAACAATAGAGACTTGATCCGTCTCTGCAAACTAGAAACCAAAGGAAAAGATAATAAGATTCTGTTCGTTTTTCGGAAAGTTACTTTCTTAGGTAAATACACTTATCCGGGTAAGTGTTTCTTGGAAAAATTAGAAAATGATCATGTTAACTATGAAAAGCCACTAGTAAAATGGGCAATTTTGTCCCGTTTAAGTGTTGGCAACTTTCCCCCCAAGTGAAAAACTTACTTATTCCACCTGGGAGATGGGTATCACTATTTGGGTAAATGATACCTAGAAAAAATAAATTTTTTGTAGACCTCACATAAATTAAAAAAAAGAACAAAACCTAAGTTGTATGTGAAGGCCTTTTGAGCAACTGTTCGCACAGTCAATTCATGATATGTGGAGGCCTCTTGAGCAACAAACAGTGAAGAAGGCAAAGACATGGTTTCCATGGAAATGAAATGAGAATTTGGCATCCCTCCGGTGCAACCTGTGTATAGGTAGACCACTCACAAACTACGGGCTCTCTTTCGATTGAAAGTTTGCTTCCAAGCTCGAATGAAATTTTTGATGTGTCTTGTTCACTGTAAACCTTCTTTCTAGTAACAGGCAAAAGCAGAACTACTAAAAGAAATTCTAACATCAAAAGTTGCTTCTCAAACTTCAAATATATAGCAATACCAAAATATATTCATTTCGGAGTTTTGAGCTGAACTCAAACTCATCAAATATTTAAACCACGAAATAAAATTTGAATTGAAGTCGAACTTGAGCGCTCGAGCTAACAATATTTTGGTTGATTCGAGCCAAGACATGCTTGGCTTGACTCGAATTGATTGCACCCCTATTCTCATGTGTGCATTTAAACATTTCAAAAACCCAAACTACCCTTATATAATTTTATGAGACTATTTTACATAAAATTGACAAAATGCAACAAAAAATAGAAACTAAAAGAACATTAGGAAATTGAAAAAATATAGAAAATACAACAAAACATAAAAAGGTACACAAAACATTAAAAACTGCAAAAAAAACTAAAACTAAAAAATGAAACAAGAGAGATAATGTACTTTTAACATTTCTATATTTTTATTATGATAGATTATTCTCTCARCCTAAATAGATATTTTAATAATTTTAGTTGTACCAGGATTAAATCTATTAACGAGCCAGATACAGAGTATTAGAATATGAAAGTTTGTCATAAATGAAAGTTTGGGGGTTATGTGTCATTGCCCAAATTAAATGGTGGCAAATTGTAACATTTTATAATATATTAAAAAACTCCCAAAATTTTGAAGTAAGTACATATGATAATTAAACAGACAAATTTGTGTTAGATTTTGTCATGTGTGTGTTGGAAGGGTTAGAATCCATCTTATGGATGGCCGAATCATGCTAGATGGCTGGACAAAATTAAAAAAATTCTTTAACCCTTCAAAGAACCGATTTTTTGGTATTTTAAAAAAWTGCATTTTTTCGGATCGATCTTGCATTGAATCGGATTAGATTTGAAACCAAATAAAAAAGGGAAATTATACCTAATATGAATACCACAAGTGTAGATCCCAAGGTGGAAATTCACACCCAAATCAGTTCTAAAACCAGTCTCCATTGAACATGGCACAGTGTATAGGTGAAGTCAGTTCAACAACATGTTTTCTCCAAAACTGCTATCCAACTTGATTGGATTGAATGGGGTGAGTGAGCTTGATCTTCCTCAATGTTTTTCTTGCTAAAACTTGAAGAAAAACTGATAAAAAAAACAGTTCTTGATCGAAAGCTTAGGTTGAATTAGGGTTTCTTAGAAGACAAGAGAGAAGAAGAGAGAGCAAGAGTGTGAAGATTTCTAGCCTAGTTTGCCCTCTTCTCTTTTATCTCCTTATGGAGGAGAGATAAGGAGATTATTCAAACTTGATTTGGATCTGGACTCTATTACGAGATAAATCTTATCMTTTTTAAGAGGATAGGTGCTCCATACTCAATACGAAACCCAGATTCAATCCAAAGCATGTGACAACTTAATTAATCTTATTAATTTTGGGCCTTAGGCCTATTTACTTCAAAGGTTCACGACCTAAGGTGTTGCATGAAAACTTTAGGCATGATATTGTATAACGTAGAACCCCACAATGATCTCACACGAGTCCACATGGGTTCGGCCCTACCCTTGAAAGAGGGTAGGCTGAATTCACTGCTCAGGGCAATGAACCCCTGACCCAATCAACATTGGTTCAGTTTGGGCCCAACATTTACACTTAAATGATCCTTAGGTTCAACCACCTTATGAAGACCCAAGGATAATGGACTCATGTAAGACAAAGCTCATAAGGTAATTATCATTATAATGGTCTTTTACACTTAACCTCTCTATTCAGATTGGATCCTGAGATTAAAACCTTTTGCAAACATTTTTCATAAAATAGTAGTATATAACATATAGATACATTTTTCAAAACCAGATTTCAAACACAGGTGAAATCCACTACTAGAAGTTTAGGTTTCCATTAGAGAGAGTGTAAGCTCTGATGTTCACTTTGTCTAACAAAGGGGCCGATCCTATCACTATGATCACCCACTCAGGTGAATTCTTAGAGTGCCCCAACATACCTAGGTATTTAACTCTTAATGAATCTCACTGGTTGGCATATCAAATACAGCTTAGTCTAACACCTAGTGTAGTACCATAATCAAGTATGAGGTTATGTGCAACTTTCCAGTTTTGCCCATCTATCTCCAACGTCTAGGGCATAACTGAAAATTGGTTTGGGTTTAGTACTTCTAATAAACACCCACTGGATGTGCTTAGTCTAACACCTAGTGTAGTACCATAATCAAGTATGGGGTTATGTGCAACTTTCCAGTTTTGCCCATCTATCTCCAAGGTCTAGGGCATAACTGAAAATTGGTTTGGGTTCAGTACTTCTAATAAACACCCACTGGATGTGCTTGGGGTGAAACCCTAGTAGTTGAGACAAGCTACTCCAATTCTTTGATAGCACACCAGTGTCAAGTCTTGTTAAGATAAACTCCCCAAGTATATTGGTTGAGAACATTCTAAACTAACACGAGTATCTTAGGCTATATTTGGTTTGAAGGAAAAGGTAAAGAAAGTGCCTTTCCCTACTTTTTCCGTCAAACGGAACATAACCTTAAGGTGTCCAGCTTAACTGGTAATACACAAAAACATACCCATATTAAAATGAAGCAATAGTGTACTTTTTTCATTTACAAATAAATGTTTATGCACATAAATCTGATTGGGGTAAAGGCATATGCTGTCTAACAACATATTCAAGGGGAATGCAATTGCGAGATGAGTCTAGTAGACTAAGTATTTGATTTTTTTTTTTGTGAGAGGGGGGTGTTCTTCAAACCATAATTGACTAATTTTAGCATTCCTTATTGTAAGGACTTATCTCCTGTTGGGTTAAAAACTCAATATTCATAGGGTTATTTTAACCACAAAAAGGAGATAAGGCAAAGGAATCCAAATGCAACCTAAATATGCTAARTCAAAACATTCACTGAGATGAGTAGAGAGAAATGGGGGTTGGTAGCTTTCCCACCACAAGAGCTCGCATCCTGTGAACATGTGGGTTCACGGATGCGTATACCTGCAAATGAAAATCAAACACTTGTTGAATTAACAGAGATTTAACGGGATTGCTCTGTTAATGGTTGAACCGAACACTAAATGACAAAAAACAACAAAACCCAAACTTTTAGACTCCTCGCTCATTTGAACTCTAAATGACAGAAAGAAATGGAGTTTTGTCGTTTTGTGTCCGGTTCAATCGGATTATCAAAATTTTGATATGATACACCCCTCGTATCGAGTTAATACACCTCAGGTGTTTTGAGATTCCTCTTTATAGAAAAGATGTGATATTTAAAAAATAATAAAAAACAATTGACCAATAAAGTGGTATCTTAAACATGATAGTAAATAAGGGCTTTTTTTTTTTTTAATCAAAATTCATGAATGGTTTTGATCGGTCAAAACTCTTTTCACACCATATCTTTTTTGGCATCATAGATTTACCCTTTAACAAAAAAATATATATAAAACCTCCCAAAAACCAAAATTTGAAAAAAGAAATAAAACTTTTCTTTAGAAACTCTCCCATAAAACTCTTTTTTTGGTGATTTCTTCAGCATTTCCAACAGTAAAATCACCGTCGCTGCTGCAACTTCCAATAGCGGTGGTGATTTCTTCCTCCGCCCCCTTCTCTAAGTTTTCCTTCTCCACCTCCCCTCTTCGCATATCAGGTGTTCGCCTGAAAACCCTTACAGAGAAAAAGAGTTGGTGCAAGGGTGGAGGCGTTTTTCAATTAACAGGAAGAATCGTTGGGGTTGGGTTTAGCTCTGCCACCGTCGTCTACATCGACCCCCTCTGGTATCGGCACCTTCGTGGCAAGATCGCCAGTAATCGGCGGTAGGTTGGAGATTGTTTGAAGGGCTTGGCGAAGAGTATTGGCAACAGAGAGCGGTGGCAAGGCCCTTCATTACCAGCTCTCTCAACGGCTTGATCTTCACCAACGGAAGAAATGCTAAAATGCCTTAGGCAAAAAGATCTAGGAACAGTAACTGAATCATCTTTGTGAGGAATGAATTTCACTACTAGCACTAAAAGTTCTGAAGTCTCCTAGTAATAGTAATAGAGTTCGATTGCCATTGTAGTAGATCTGAGTGGATCTGAACAGATCTGGTTCACTCCCGATCTGTAAACCCTTACAGAGAAAAATAGTCGGAGCAAGGGTGGAGGCGTTTTACGATCAATAGGAAGAATCATTGGGGTCGGGTTCGGCTCTGCCATCGTTATCTACATCGACCCCCTCCAGCACTGGCACCTTCGTGGCAAGATCGGCGGTAGGTTGGAAATTATTTGAAGGACTTGGGCGAAGAGTATCGGCAGTAGAGAGCTGTGGCGAGGCCCTTCATTACCATCTCTCTCAACGGCTTGATCTTCACCACCAGAAGAAATGCCACAATGTCTTTGGCAAAAAGACAACTCTTTGAGAGCAAAACAGTGATCTAGGATGGCATTCATTCCCTTGGAACCAAACACGCAGGAGCCACAGGAAAGCTTCTTCAAACCCTTGCAGTTCTTAGCGAAGGCCTCCATGCCTATGTCGGTCAAGTCGTGACAAGCACGATGTTTGAGTTGTGTAAGGTTTCGGCAACACAAAGAGATTTGGACAAGAACCTTGTCACCGATGTTGACGGATCGTTGGTCGCACTTCAATGTCAGTTTGGTTACAGCATCAAACCGAGGGAAAATAGAGGGAATCGAAAGTTGTAGATTGGATTCTGCCTTGAGCGATAGACGGTGTCGGCTGTGTCCTTCAACTTGAAACCATTGCCGACAGACTAGAGAACAGCTTTTACGATTGCCGGAGCCAAGGGACTAGAAAATGCAGGCCAAGCATTCATAAGGTAGATAAAAAATGTAATTACAAGTTCCGACGACATTCCTCGGAATCTCGGGATTCAGCTCCACTTGCACCGGCGAGATAATAGGCATGGATCTATTCTTGGTGAAAAAAAACTCACCGACCTCCGCCTTTCGGTATTTGCAGCAACCGTCGTTGTTGGCGATGGTCGCGTCAATGGATGGCGCTCCTCCCTCTTCCCTTTCGACAGATGAAGCGAGTGTCCGAGAGGGATTAACACCTGAGAGGGATTATGTGTTAAGTTAAAATTAAGGACAAAAATGTAAAGTTAAAATAGGTATTTTATCTTTTCCAACGATGTTTAACGATTAAAGATAAACATCGATGTTATAAACATACACTTAGTCTGAGAGGGATTACGATTAAAGATAAACATCGAAGTCTGAGAGGGATTACTGTTTAACGATTAACAGTAAAGTACACTTAGTCAATTGTTATAAACATACACTTGGGTTCAAATTTCTATTTTCTTTATATTCGACCTTCTTGCACTCCCTTTTCTTCTCTCTCGCTCTCTCCCTGCCTCCTCCGCTCTCCCCTGTTCCATCGTCCACCGGCGATGGATGCACCGTCGGTACACGTCGCCTTCTGTATCTGGCAACATAGACGGAATCGTTGTCGCTGGAGAGCTTGCAGTCGGTGCCGAGCTTGATGAGTTTTATCGATGAGAATGGAACAACCAATGGCACGTTAGAGTGGATGAGACAATCCCGCTAGAGTCAGTGGCAGAGCTGCTAGTGCTAGTGGTGGAGACTCCGGCACCGGAGCCAAGTTACCCAGCGGAGTTGGCAATACCCTTATGGCGAGCTTCTCAGCCTCTGAACAGGCTTTTCAGTGAGTCGTTGTTGAAAGAAAAGTAGGCATAGCCAGGTATACTAATGGGCACCATTGAGCTAAGCAATAGGAAAGATATTAAAAATAAATTATCAAACAAAATGACATAGAAAAAGAGATTCGGAAGAAGAAAACGGATTTCATCCATTGTAAAGCAAGGAACCCATATTTAAATTTCAGCGTCAAAGGAAAGAGAGATTACCATGAAGGAGGTAGAGTTGGATTCATTGAGAAGTATGGATTCAGTGAAGTTGCAAAGTTTGAATGCTCTTCTGTTGTGGAAAATGTAGACGTTGTGGTGGCGTTTATATTTGAAAACTGTCAACAGAAGGGTAGAAGGTTAAATATTTTAACTTCAGCTGCAACTAAAAAATCTAATAAATGGCCCCAACTTAACTTACCTTGGTTCAATATTCACTAATGAGTATCTGTGTGCATTGTTAGTTGAATACTTGCCAATTTCATCTCCTGCGTGAACTGTTGGTTTCCTCCACTCTGCAATTTCATCTACAGCAATGGTCTTGGCATGGGAATATTGGTTTCTAATAAATGGCCCCAATTAGAAGACTAGTGTGAACAAAAAAAGAAGTATGGGCATGGAGAAAGCCTCCATGGGCTGATCTTGGTTTCTCAGTTTTGGATTCAAAGGTGTAGATAGATGGGGAGGGGCTCAGTGAGTTTGTCTGCGGTGGGTTTGTCTCAGTTTAGGAAGAAGGTCCATTGGATTTAGGATTTGGGTGCATGTAGCTGTACATGTTTTCGTTGCAATAAGCTAATAAAGGAGGAATCATTTTCTTTTACAGTCTTTTATTAGATTATTTTAATACATATGCAGTTATTGAAGAGGGAGTATAGGTCCAGCGTGAGAGACGATGTGTACCGTCACCGATAGACGGTGGAACAGGGGAGAGCGCAAGAGGCAGGGAGAGAACGGGACAAAATAAGATTGGACCAGGGCGGGTGTTCAAATTTTAATAATTAACAAATTATTTACATCGTCAGAAACGCCGTTAAAAATTAAGTAGACTGGGCTTCGACGATGTGAACTCCCCACCTCAACCCCCATTTGAACATAACAGCAAGATTGTTTGAAATTAAATTGGGCAGGTCCAGCAATAAATCGTCATTATTTGGTGTGGTCGTAGGTGGGATTTGTGGCTGGAACGTGTATTATCGTCGCTTGGTTCACAGGCAGCTAACACCTACATCTTCGTCGGAGCTTATAAAAACAATACATATATAGGATCTCTTCACCTCTTCATAGTTCATACCCAATTGAACCGACTCTTCCACACCTTACCCAGTACCAGGGCACAACCCGCCACCGCCAGTGCCACCGATGCCGGCTCTTACACGCCTCGCACCATTCTCATCACCGGTGGTGCTGGTTTTATCGCCTCCCATGTAACCAATCGTCTCGTCAAGAGCTACCCCAACTACAAGATTGTGGTTCTCGACAAGCTTGACTACTGCTCCTCCCTGCAAAACCTGTCTCCCTCCCAATCCTCCCCTAACTTCAAGTTTGTCAAGGGAGACCTCACAAGCGCCGATCTTGTCAACTACCTCCTCATCACAGAGGGAGTTGACACCATCATGCACTTCGCTGCACAGACCCATGTCGACAACTCCTTTGAGTTCACCAAGAACAACGTCTATGGAACCCATGTCCTACTGGAAGCTTGCAAGGCTGCGCGGCCTACTGTGCGGCGGTTCATCCATGTAAGCACTGATGAGGTGTATGGTGAGACAGAGGCCGACGCCATTGTTGGCAACCATGAGGCCTCGCAGCTCCTCCCCACCAACCCCTACTCGGCTACCAAGGCCGGGGCAGAGATGCTTGTCATGGCCTATGGGCGGTCCTATGGCCTGCCTGTGGTCACCACTCGCGGCAACAATGTCTATGGTCCCAACCAGTTCCCTGAGAAGCTCATACCCAAATTCCTGCTCCTCGCCATGCGAAGCCAGCAGCTCCCCATACATGGAGATGGATCCAACGTGCGCAGCTACTTCTTCTCTGAGGATGTGGCTGAGGCATTCGATGTTGTTCTTCACAAAGGTCAAGTGGGGAATGTCTACAACATTGGGACACAGAAAGAGAGAAAGGTCCTGGACGTAGCCAAGAACATCTGTGAGCTCTTCAATTTAGACTCTGACAAGACTATTACCTTCGTGGAGAACCGTCCTTTCAACGACCAGCGCTACTTCCTCGACACAAAGAAGCTCAGTGAACTTGGCTGGTTTGAGAAGACAACATGGGAAGAAGGCCTCAAGAAAACCAGAGATTGGTACATGGCCAATTCTGACTGGTGGGGGGATGTCTCTGCCGCCCTCCTTCCCCATCCCAGAATGCTAGCCATGTCGGGTGTGGAACAGAAGACTGATACCAGACTAAATCATGCTATGGATTCTGCTTTAAACAAGCCAAATATTAGTTTAAAAGGTAAACCAACGGACCCAAGTGATGACTCCAGAAAGAATTTGAAGTTTTTGATCTATGGGAAAACTGGGTGGATTGGTGGGCTGTTGGGAGAGATATGTGAGAAGCAGGGAATTGATTTTGAGTATGGAAATGGAAGATTGGAGTACAGGGACCAAATCGAGAGTGATTTGAGAAAAATAAGGCCTACCCATGTCCTTAATGCTGCTGGAATTACAGGCAGGCCTAATGTTGACTGGTGCGAGTCTCACCGGGTTGAGACCATTCGGACCAATGTGGTTGGGACCCTAACACTTGCAGATGTATGCAAGAATCATGGAGTCCTGCTTGTAAATTTTGCCACAGGCTGCATATTTGAGTATGACAGTTTGCATCCTGAGGGAAGTGGGATTGGATTCAAGGAAGAGGACAAACCCAATTTCACTGGCTCTTTCTATTCCAAGACCAAAACCATGGTAGGTTAATCTCTGCTACCATATATAACTGTGACTTGTTCTTATAGCACAATAGATCACAACCATCATACCTCTGCTAACAAATTCTGTGGATTTCTTTCTCTACAGGTGGAAGATCTACTGAGCAATTATGAGAATGTTTGCACCCTGAGAGAGTCAGAATGCCAATCTCCTCAGACCTGAGCAATCCCAGAAACTTCATCACCAAGAAAACACGGTACAACAAGGTTGTCAACATTCCAAACAGTATGACAGTGCTGGATGAGCTCCTGCCCATATCGATTGAGATGGCCAAGAGGAATCTAACTGGAGTATGGAACTTCACAAATCCTGGGGTGGTGAGCCACAATGAGATCCTTGAAATGTACAGGGATTATGTAGACCCAAACTTCAAATGGACAAACTTCACACTAGAGGAGCAGGCTAAGGTGATTGTTGCTCCACGAAGCAACAATGAACTGAATGCCCCGAAGTTGAAGGAGTTTCCAGAGATGTTGCCAATTAAGGAATCAATCTTGAAGTATGTTTTCATGCCCAAGAGAAAGGTGGGTTAATGATCTAGAAAAGGGTTTTACGCTATCAAACATATGATAGTTGGAATAATAATTTCTCATTTCTTTTCTTTGGTTTTTTCTTCTTCACATGGGGATGTTGTCAAGGGGCTTTTACCTTTGCTATATTATTTGAATAAAAAGAGGCAAACTTGATAGTTGGTACTGCCTTGCAAATAAGATTTCCCTAAAATTTTAAACTTTAATTTATTGCTTGTCATAAACAAGGTACAAGAGATTTTGAAAGAAAATACACTAATTAATGCATTAATTACTTGTGATGATGCGCAATTTGGCCACTCCTCGTTGGAAGTGGCTGTACTCCTAATTGGCGACGGGCAAGAGATACCTGCGTGAAAAGAGATGAAGGAACCCGGGGTTGCTTACCCGGTGGGAACACTCTGATGCTTAAGTTAGTACTTGGTTGCAAGCTGGAAGAGAACGAATTTGTAAGAAGATGAGAAAGCTAGAGAGTGGTGAATATGCGATACCTTGGCCCTTGGGGGATCAGAGTCCTTATATGCTGGCGCCCTGACAGGTCTGGTGAGAATGATCCCAAATCCTTGCGGCGGCGAGCTGTTGTCGGGTAACGTCTCGGAGTGGCTGGCCGTTACTGTCAGGACTGAGGGCAGGCAAGCTAATATGACTGTTGTAGGGTACAGTCCCTCCAGGCAGGAGACAACCTCTGGGGCTGACAGGCATAACGCCGCTAGGCGAAAGATAGGAGTGTGGTCCTTAGGGTTTGGCAGGTACTATGCCGCCAGATGAGGGACGTGGGTGCAATCTACAAGTTTGGTAGGTACGGTCCTGTCAGGTAGGGGGCTTTCCGCGAGATGCCGAGCTACCCTGTAGCGAGTTACCTGGTGGTGAGCTATCTGTGGTGAGTTGCCTGTGGCGAGATGCCCATGGCAAGTTGCCTGTGGTGAGCTGCTTGTGATGAGCTCGAACTGTCTATTTGTCAAGAGGCTGCACTTAGTTGGCATAAGGTGCTAGGTGTCATAATATCATTGGAGGGCCAAATCCACCCTCATCAACTTGGATAACCAAATCAATGGTCAATTACAAGGCCATTTATAAGGTGGGGATGATCAAAAGAGAATTGGGATGTGCTCTAGGAGAACACTGTTTTTTAGAGGTTGAGGTCAAATACTCGGTGACAATTTTTGGATTGTTAAATAGGGGTGAATGCAATCTCAATTCCAAAATTGTCTTCCAATTGAGAGCTACGGGAGTGAATGCATGCAATGTTTGCACTTGAACAAGATGGAATGAAACATTTCTCAAAATAAAATAAATGGAAAATTTTCACAGATCTGCATATTGAGACAATTAAATACCATGAGATAGAAGTGCAACAAACCTGCATATTGAGCAGATTTGTGATATTGACACAATTTATTTACAAAGAGTTCCTCTATGAAAAGGAGRTGCCCTGYCTTTTCAGTTGATCACCCAGCAATACACAAACACTCTTGGACACAACACAGCAGAATGTATATACCAGATCATTGAAATACAAAATGCCCTATGCCCTTTTCCTCTTGGAAAGGGCAGGCTCCATCCATCGTGCAATAAATAGCCAACAGTAAAGCTTGTGTTGGGTTTGGTAAGAGGGGAAACATAAAGGTGAGTGCAATTTATTAAGAAATTTCACAACGTGTGAATCCAACACCTTAGACTTCACAATCTATATACTACTATTAAAAGTGTGAATAAGAGTGGAATCTTGTTTGACTAAAATACCCCAGTTTTTAAATTTGGTCACTCTTTAATCGTAAGGACTGCAATGTAATTTGAGTGACCATTTTTGTTCTCATTCAATTCCCTCTTATTAAGTCTTATATTTAGGACATTAGCTCCATTCTTTCATTGAATGCTATATTAATTGACCATATTAAAGAAAAATAAGTGCGGCAAAGAATAATTGTTTTTAACTTTTTTTATTGATAATAGAAGTAAAATACAAATTTAAAATCAACCCAAAATGGAGTTGTTTTCTTATTTGGTGGCAACTCAGCTATTCAAACTTTTGGTTAAATGTGTTAACCCTTGATGTCATAATTAAATAA